GGGGACCTAGTGATTGAAAACCAAACGTCTTAAGCACTAAGCTACAACTACATTCAACTACGTGATTATTTTCATGCAGCAGATCAACGAATCATTCATAAAATCATCAAAAAACAAGCCTAAAGATCCTATTCAAAGTCAATCAGTCGTCAGTCAGATGCAACATAAAACCTAGCACATACGTATATATCAACTGAATGTCACATATTCTATTATCATAGCGAGATGAAATTGTCAAGTTGAATCCCAGCTTAGTACAGGTAATAAGATTAAGCATCAAAGATATGATTTAAGAACATAAAAATTAGTAAAATACAAAATTATCCGGAATTCACGAGACTGGAGTTTGGGGGGAAAACAAGTCTAACCACTGACTAGGATTATCGAGCAAGTTCCAACCAGGTATTCTAGACTTATTAACATGGTACAGTCTAACTGCTAATAACTTCATCGACTTGCGTCAATCTTAGGCTTCTCCTCTGTTAGGATATTCACCAAAAATCCTAAGAGTACTATTTTTGGAAGTATAATCCTATTGGTCGAAAATATGGTCGATTTAACTGTCAAAGTCAAATACTTCAATGTCGTCTCTTTTTGGTCATCCGGACTGTCAATGTCATTTCAAATTTTCTTTCCTATTGGTCGTCCTAAACTGTCAATGTCACAGACTTTGATGCACTTTCCTATTCGACCTTAATGTATAAATACGCACTATCTGTAAGCCTTCATGATTCGGATTCCGATTCCGTTTCTCCTGCCTACCTCTCTTCTGTATTCGACCCAATAAACAACTCCATTCCACGGTGTTGCGTTCTGATATCTAGGAGATTTGGAAATAGCATTTTGGGTCGTATTGGGATATTTGAATTGGATGCCGCTAGGACTGAATAGCTATACGTAGCAGCATTACAACATCCTCTAAACGTACACTTTTACACCAAAAAAGACCGACCAAATCAACGTGACATGAACAAGCCAAAAAAGATACCTTTTTGGTCAGATTTAATTCATTCAAAATAATGAGTAGTTGCAATAGGAGCGTTAAGGATAAAATCAAAAATGAGATTGAAAATCTAGGAGATCGCGTATCGAGCAAATGATATAAATGGAAATCACGAACTGATTTAGTGTTAGGCCACCATTGGAAATTTGGAAGCACCGAACGGTCGTTCCGTTCGATTTCTGCTCGCGGGTGCGCACCACTAAAAAGAAACGTCCCTCTTGTGTTTCCAGATTTCCACAAGTTGTCTAATAATGATCAATTCATGATTTTTTAATCAATCTCAACAGCACTATATACACAAATATATACATATATATAGTTACCTTTAGGACCTTTGCGTTTAGGTTGTGGTGCTGGTGGTGGCGGTGGTGGTGACTTTTTTGTTATAACGGATGATTGAGATGAATTCGACTGTAGTCGCTGCTCTGCTGATGTTTGATCTGTTGATTGTGTCAATGTAGGAGTAGTAGTAGTAGCAGCACCACCACCAACAGTAGCAGTAATAGTAGTCATCATCGTCGATGTGATGGTAGTAGAAATAGTATTAGTCATACTTCCACGTTTAATAATAACATCTAATTTTGGACTGATATCAGAAGATGTTAAATGAACTGTACGTGAATCATAGGCATTTGATAAATCTTCAATAGTATTATTACTATGATTATTATTAATATTCTCATCATAAGTATCCATATTTTCAACAACTGCATCCACTACTTCTAGCTCAACTTCACGTTCACGATGTAAATTATCATGACGATCATTATTATTATTATCATGATCATGACTGGTAAAATGATCCTCTTCTTCATTTAGATCATGATTGTTTGAATAATCAGTTGATCGTTGATTTTTCATCATATGATCAAGTGAATTGTCTTCCTCTGCTTCTACTTCTTCTTGTTGTTGATTGACATGATCGCCAACATCAACATCATGATGCTTTTTCTCGGTGACATCATCCACATGATGATCAACAACAACATGACTGCTAGTGTTATTATTTTCTGGCAAAGTCACAGATGGTGACGATGATAATGATGATGACGATGTATGTGGTATGTCATTATTATTTTCATTATCTACTACCATACTTTTATTACGTAGCCAACATGATGAAGCAGGTGGTATAAGTTTCTAGGAAGAACAAAAAGGGGGAAGAAGAATAAGAAGTCTTAATTTGAAGTGAGTGAATTGCAATTAGGTGAAAGTGAAATATATAATATGTGGGGAAAATTTGCTCCCTCTGTCTTGCTCGGAATCAAGTCAAGTCAACAACGACAAAATCTCAGCTCGGATACAGAAGGCTCGATTGGCTTTTACCAACTTGCGTCACTTATGGCGCAGGCGAGATATCCGCTTGCTAACAAAAGGACGAGCGTACTGTGCAGAAGTTCGCTCCGTTCTCCTACATGGATGCGAAACATGGCCGTTAAAGGTTACTGGTCTTCGATCATCGGTGTCTCCAAAGCATTACTCGTGTATCATGGGACAACCGTATAAACAATGCTGTCGTTAGTAAACGAGTTCTAGGTAGAGATGGCAAATCAATCGATGAAGTGGTGAAACTTCATCAGTTGAGGTGGTTAGGACATGTGTTACGCATGCCTAACCACCGACTGCCTCGACGAGCTATGTTTTGTGGTCTAGGATTAGGTTGGAAGAAAGCTAGCGGTCGCCAGACCAAAAAAATGGCAGAAATGCATGAAGTCACTGACAAGTGGACTGAATCATGTTGATAGATGTAGACTACCTGGTTGGGGTTTGCGAGACGAAAGTCGCCGATGGTTAGAGACCTTGAATGACATGGCTCAGAATCGTTTGCAATCGCGCAGGTGCATCCACTCTTGGTGTTCTCTCAAATTCTAACCTTCTAAATTCCTCATAATCTCTATCTTTCTCCTGACAAATTTATCTCACTGAATTATGGCTGAAAACTGGGAACTAAAACCGGTACTTACATTTGCAATTTCTCGAACACTTAGATTGGTATGGAATGTTTTACACCATCCAAACTATATTGTTATTCCAGCTTAGAAAGTTTCACAACATGAAAAACTTAGAGAATTTTGAAATCTTCCCGGTACAAGAAAGACGGCATGGATTATACAGGGTCATACAGGTGTTTACTAGTTATTTGATTGTCTACATTGGGCAGTAGCACTTCACTGAACATTATTTTACAGGTGTTTATGAATTTGATGCAGGTAGTTCTAAAGAGCGGCTTTTATTTATTATTTGTATGTTAGTCGTGTTACTGTGTCTTTCAAAAAAACAGAGTAGGGAGAGTTGGTTCTAACTGTTGCGGGTATAGATTTGTCCACGAATAGAACAAGTAATCATTTGATTGCGGTGAATTTGGGAGATTCCTAGCTTATATCATGATCACACTGGTTGAATGTTTAAGCGACAAGTACTACATGAAAGTCACTATTCATTGTATGAGGTGTTGTGAATACCTTTCCGACTGCGTGGGTTTAGACGTGTTGCAACAACACAACAATTATGTAAACGGATGAACTAATCCAACGATCACTAACCCCTATTAAGTATTATTAGTGTACGGCTCCTAGTCGATGTATAGTTTGATATTAGGTATTCTAAAGACGGACCAACTACTCATGCATTATTTAGCAAAAATTCAAGGCTTATAATATTATAAAGTAGTTTTTAATGTCTCAAATAATGATTGTGTTTGACAATTTTATTTATTAAAAAATAAACATCACTAATATTTGTTTACTGAATAAAATTAAAAACTTACCTCCAACGATTCTGAAGACAGTGACGGTGTACTCGTGATCGAGCGAGATCCCCATTGTCTTCTACGTACTGGTTGTACTTCTGTTTCCGATTTAGCATCATTTGCAGTTGAAATTGGTAGGTCGGAATTTTGTGCATCTTTAGTAATCTCAACATTCGAAATTTCAATTGATGTTTCCGAATTGTTAAGATCTGTGAATAACATTGAATTCTTGGTATTAGTTGGGAAATTCGAGGTGAAGTAAAACCGATCAATCACGTATAACGTTGTAAATATTGATTAGAATGAGGTAAAATAACACGTGATTAAACCTATGCTGAAACATTATGGAAATCTTGAAAACACCACAATCTTAAGCTAGTAGCTAGCTTACAATGCTTGTACTGTGTCATGAAATACACAACAGGCATTACCTGTTTCAAACTTAATTATATAGTATTTTTACTCGTTTTTTCAAAATTTTCACAGCGTTCTCTAAAATTTTTTTATAATCCTTTAAATGTCCTTATACACCAATTAATATCAACTCAGAATCAAGTAAAATTAAACGACAGATATATGCTCAAGAGTTTATGAACATCGAAGACTCCTTCATAAAAGTTTTTTATTGATGAATCATCCTTTAATTAGTGTATTTAAGAACTTTGCGAAGGTTCTACAAGAGGAAAACCAGCAAGTGCCATGGTTACGTCAACACGTGGAACTAATGTAAGTTTGATATCCCCAATAACAGAAAATGAAGTTCTTTTTGCTCAAACATTTTTTGGTTCAGTGAACTCCAATAAGTTAGTCATTTTTCACATTAACTGACTGAAAAATGCTATCAAAAATCAACTTTTAAGTATTGCATTTTTTATCCTTGCTATAATGCAAAGATCCATGTCTCCAATATTACCAAAACTTTTTTTGATGAAAAGGGAGTAAAGGTTATGTTTTTGTCCAAATGAATTTGCATTTTCAAAAATTAAATCCATTTTAAGAAGATCACTGGCAAGCGGATTTAATGAATTCTTTACAAATCTTTTATATACATATTAAATTCTGTAAATCAATTAACCACAAATGATTTATACTAGGTTACTTGAGGCATATACGTCGCAAATGTTTAAAAGCGGTTGCTGAAGAAGACTAATTAAAAAACAGTATTCTTTTTATTCTCTAAAAAAGCATTTTAAATAACGCTGTGAAAATTTTGAAAAAATACGAGTTGAAATACTATCTATACATCCATAGATATGAGACTTTTCGTTCCGATAGACGAATAGATACACTTGTCGTACCTTGAATACATTTTAATACAATAGTAAATATATACGAATTCATAATAGACTGGCGATTCAACATGATTTAAAATCAAAAAACAAAGTACAACTTACCCAGTTTACCACAATCGGTAGATACAGATGGCGACTTACAAAAACTTTCAGTCTTCTAAAAATTTAAGCAATTTTTGAATGTAATGATAAAAACAAGCATACAATAAATAAAGTTAATTTTTTAACTGAAACTCTAATTCATCAAGTCAGTATTCAAAGAGGTGGTAAACAAACAAACACATCATTATCACATTAAGAACAGCAATCCAATGACAGTGATCGTATGTTCTTACTTCACTTACGGACAGATGTTCACAATACGACACAATAATCATTCACACACAGGTCATCATTCATTCATTCTATTTGTACCACCAATAATACAACGACAACAACCAATCGATCAATCAATCAATCAATCATGTTTGCACAGTTTCATACAAGACTAACACACACACACAACACCAACACTCTACACACAACAAAATGTCATCATGAACAAGTAGTTAAATACTACCCCGCCCCACTCGGTCGTCTAGTGTATGGAGCAATAACAACAACAACAACAGGCAAGAGTAAGCAAGGCAAAACAAATATAAAAATGAACCTGATTTGGTTGTTTCAATAAAAATAAAAAATAAAATAGAATCAACGCATTACGAAAAAAAAAAAACAATTAACCTGAAACTTTTGATGTGTTTTTTTTGTTTAACTAAATACCCTCGAGACAGATGATCCACGTAGAGAGTATAATACACACATACACACACGTCACTCACTATTGCGCGGTTCTTCTGATGAGAATGTATACCATCGAACATGGAGATGTATGGAAAAATAAGGAGGTAAGTTGATTGTATGTATGGTGCTGGACCATGAGTCTTTCATGAATAGGGTTTTTTTCCAATGTACACACAGAGTAAGTGTAAAGAGAGAATATGAATCACGTGTGTGCGTGTGTGTGAAAGGATAATTGTCTTTTGATGAAAGATTGCGTAAAAATTAGAACAGAACAGAACAAAACCAATAAATGAGATGGTAACAATAGAAATCATAACAATAATAATAATAAGGTTGCTTTGTACACGATAGCGTTATCATCATGTGAAATGGTGTTGTTTCTCAAGGGAAAAAAACCACTAGTAAAATTTCATAAAAAATATTACAAATAAGGTAGGTGAGGAATAGTAAATATTGTAAAAAGTACAATATTGAAAGAGAAAAGGGAAAAAAGGGAATAATTTCCTTCCAAATAAATGAAATTCATTCACATAATAACAGATTGGATTTGAAAAGTTTTTCTTTCCATGAGAAAACAATCTTACAGTTTTTAAAGTAAAATGAACACCTGACTCCATGTATGTGTGATTGAATTATCATGAGTGTCTCTCAATTGTGGTGAATGTACATAAAACAACAAACGACACAGAAAAAAAAAAGGTAAATACAAAAAATGAGAAAAAAATTTAAATAAGGAAACATGAAAGAATACTGTCATGTCAGCAAATATACAATGGAAATTTTTATCTTTAATAATGACAGTTGAAATGAATAATAGTTTGGCTTTTTCAAATACTAAATATACGTTCATATATTTTTTATATGTTGATGGAATGTCTTATTCTTTCAACATTGGCTTGTCAGAAAAAAAATTCTGTATTGCAACACCGATTGTGATGATAATCAGTAACGAGTTTTCAAAACATGAAGGTTTTTTCAATATAAATCATTTACAATATACGACCAGCACAGTAGAAAATGTCACAGGTTTGAATTTTGCAAAATATAATCGATATTCTAATCAAATGCCATATAGGTTGCCACCAAATTGACTGATTAGATGAAAGACATCAGTGAAACGTGCTGGGCTAATAAACGCGCAGTACGGAGTGCCACCATCTCATGTGTGAACGACTAGCGAGTATAAACAGGAACAAGGAGTACATTTAGGCAAGTCCAAAACAAGTTAAAACAAACACCAGTGACGAAGGATAAAGAAGGAAGGATTTAAGTAGTTATTAGTATAGTTAACAATAAAATAAAATAATTATTATATCATAAATCCACTGACTATTCAATCCTATGAAAGCACTAAATACATAAACACACATCTATACATGATTATACTACAACTAACATTCCCTAACGCTATAAGTATAAATAAATCAACCACATAACACTTATTCAAAATCAATAATGAAACTTACGGGGATTTCAACACTGAAAACAAAATGAAATGATCTCTTTAACAGTAATAAGAACAAAGTACAGTGTTATAACAATATTCAATCAGGTTTTATGATTCATTGTTTACCTCGAAACTAAATTTTTCCAGAGGAAAATACACAAACTGCTTCCACAAAAGCACTATAGTTCAAGTTAAGATACTATGTTCGCTTAATGTAGTTAGTCTTTGTAAGCTTAGCAACAAGGGTTAGGCCAGTTTTCACAACCGAAGAGTTAGGTTGCCCTCATCGGTGCGATGTATAGCCATGCTTTGCAAGCAACTAAGTCAATCTCTGAACAAAAACGTTGCCACAATCGTTACAAAGAACCGGAAGTAAGCCACCTGGGTTAGGTAATTTACGGGCCCTAACCTAACGGCACATAGTCAACTGTGAATGAGGAACCGATCGTTAAGTATTGTCTTCGCTATGGCGTCTTATGAGATGCCATTGCGTATTCAAACCAGATAAAGTTTCAGATCAACGTTCATGAAGTAAACAGAATAGGTAGTAAACAAACAGGAAAAACAAAGAAATTATTTTAGCTCGAGGCATTTAGCGGTTCGTCTATGTAAGTCATCGATTATATCGTCTAGTTTCCATATACCGTAAGACCCATTAGCTAATAGACAGAAATGACTAGTAAATCATTGCTAAAAGATATAGTAATTCTTGATAAAAAATTTTTCCTTTCCACAGGTTCGTTCCAACGACGTAGATTGTAATTCGACACTGTTCGATTAACATGTGTTCAAATAAACATGATAATGTTACTTGAACTTTCCATTCAAATGTGGGCAACAATGCGCAGCAAGCTAATCAGTAAAGACACACAGTCACACCTCAATATTGAACAATTTCGATGTTTTGTGTTAACTGTTATTTTTTAAAAATACAGGCACTTTATGGAATAGATTATATATTCTTTTGGCACCAAGCTCGATATTTATAGAAGACCCCGTTGATCATGATTTCTTGAACTAACTTCTTTAACCCCAACAAGTAGTCGTCGTACGACGTAAATTGAAGGCACTTTATGAACTCTACTAGATGTCCTCTTTCAATTACTTGATAGTCCACGACTTATGAGAATATGTGCTTCAAAAGGCAAAGACAATCTGATTAGAATCAACACAATGGTCGCAGCTAATGACTGAGAGCATTAGATAATGTCACATTAAATCATTTCCCTTCAAGATTTTCAGTTAACTAACATTCTCAACTTTTTCAACCTTATATACCAACTAGTTCTTTCTAGACTACAGTCCTCGTGTCAATAGTTACAATGCTTGTGGGATCATATTTTATTCTGAGTCTTGACTTTTGCGTGGTAGACGTGATGCGGAAAATAAATTATTTAAAATTAATGGCAGATCCAACACTGAAATCTTATTGAAGACAATAATACATTAAAAACCGAACAAAAATTTAGGTATCTATTTGCTCTTACTTGACCTCGGTTACATCGACAGATGCAGACACTTCGGTAATTTCCTCATCTGATGCAACTGCATCGATTTCTAAAGTATCTTCGTTTTGCACATTATTAGTACCAATAAGAGAGCCATCTGATTCTACAGGCTTATCAAAAGTTTCAGACTTCTAAAATGAATAGGAATAAGTAGTGCCTTAGGATAACTCGAGCATTCATCACATTCAAAACGCATCTATAGATCAAAAATGTGGTCCATAGAATTTTAAAGATTATCAGGTTGAGGGGCCAACAATACATATGAAGGATGTTTTTATGCGCCGATACAGCAACACATTTTCTTATGATCATGAAAGTGAGCAATATTCATCCAGCTGTATTTAACTAGGTAGACAGCTCATCCTGATTATGATTCAAATAGCATGTAATAGGCAATAATGTCTAACACTGCTTTTCAAGCTCGACATGATGTCATAGATTCCTGAGGTTGATGCATTTTTCCACTTAATATGCCTTTGCGATTGCTCCCAGATGAACACTACATTAATAATCAATACATCTACGGTTTTTACTCGTATGGGACTTTGTTCATAAATGACCTGCTAACCAATGGTATGCACTCTTAAAATCACTAGAATAAACGACAACACAACTAATCTTAATGAAAATTAGTGTAAAAAAGTGAAATGTCTTGGAAACGCGCACTTGTGTTTACTTACTTCTCTTTCCTGACGCAATTCCACATCCACAGCCCCTGAGAGTCGGGCACACAAATCTTTCTTCACACCTGAACGACTAAGACCTCTTATTTCGAGTTGAGTGCGGAGATCAGCAACCTTTAGGTCGCCGATCTTACGGCCATCTGGCAGAATTACGTCCTCCGGAGCAGACATCACGCGCGAAATATTAAAACTGGGGAATGACAAAACAATGTGTGGTGGAAGTTTCAATATTCAATATGCCTGATGAGAAACGTTTATTAAAAATGAATTTGTTTATAATCTCCTCAATAAAAACTTGGCTTAGTGCAGATAATTCTG